GCCGCGACGCGGCGAAGCGCTTCGAGGCCGACGCCGTCGCCGCGCTCGACATGGCCAAGCGCGAGCGGCTCGCGGCGGCCGCGTGGCGCGAGCGCGCCGAGGCCGCCGAGGGCGCCTGCGCGGCGGCGCGCGCCGAGGCCGACGCGGGCCGCGCGGCCGTCGCGTCCCTCGCCGGCGACGCGCAGCGCGCCGCGGGCCGCGAGGCCGACGCGGACGCGCGCGCGAAAGCCGCGGCGGCCTCGGACCGCGCGCGGCCGGGCGACTTCGCGGCGGCGGCCGCGAGCGCCGCGGACGCGGACGCGCTCCGCGCGGCCTGCGACGAGGCCGAGCAGCTCAAGGCGCTCGTCGACCGCCTCGAGCACAGCCGCGCCGCGTGCAAGGCCGAGACGCGGCGCGCGCTCGAGGACGTCGAGCGCGCGCGCCGCGCGGCGCTCGAGGCCAAGGGCGACGCGGCCAAGGCCGCCGAGGCCGCGAACGCCAAGGAGGGTACGATCCGCCGCCTCGAGGCGTCGCTCCACGCGCTCGACTCGGAGCGCGACGCGCTCGAGGACGCGCTCCGCGCCAAGAGCGAGGCGTCGTCCGCGCTCGAGCAGCGCCGGTCCGAGCTCGCGCGGCAGCGCGACGACCTCCAGGCGCGCGTCGACGACGACGCGCGCCGCGCCAAGGCCCTCGAGCGGTCCCTGGGCAAGCGCGACGCGGAGCACGCGTCGTCGGCGCAGCGCCTCCAGGCGCTCGGCGCGGCCCTGGACGACGCGCGGCGCGCGGCGTCGGACCGCCAGGAGCTCCTCGACGCGTCCCAGGACGACCTGCGCATGATGACCAAGGAGAACCAGGCCGTCCACGCGGAGCTCGCGTCCGTGCGGTCGCAGCTCCGCCAGGCCACGGAACAGGCCGCGAGCCTCGACCGCGACTGCGACGCCTTGCGCGCCGCGTGCCAGCGCGCGACGGTGGAGCGCGACGACGCGCTCCACGTCTACCGCGCGACCTGCCGCGAGAAGCAGGCCGCCGTCGTCGGCGCCGACGAGTCGACGCGCGCGCGCCAGGACCTCGAGCACCGGCTCCAGGCCGCGCTCGACACGATCACGTCCCTCGAGGGCGCGCTCACCGACGCCAAGCGCGAGAACCAGAAGCGCGCGACCGTCGGCGGCTCCCTCGAGCGCGAGCTCGACGCCGCGGCCCGCGACCGCGCCGTCGACGCGCGCACGGTCGACGCGCTCCGCGCGGAGGTCGCCAAGCTCCAGAGCGACAAGGCCGCGCTCCACCACCTCCACGCCGCGCGGTCGCCCACGCCCCTCGCCCACGTCATGCCGGGCGGCCTCCCCTACCGCGCGCGGCCGTCGTCCGCGCCGCGCGCCGCGCCGACGCCGGACAAGGCGCCGTCGTCGCGCCACTCGTCCCCGGGCGACCGCATCGACGCGCTCCTCGCCCAGGCCCGCCTCGCGCAGACGGCCCGCGCGACCGCCGCCATGTAGGGCGCGCTAAGACCGGGCGCAAGAGTCTGTAGTCACGGGGCGAACTGGAGCGTCTCGCGGCACATGGGGCACAGCGTCTGGCTGCTCGCCCAGTCCTTGACATCGCGGGCGCCTTGATTGCCGGTCTGCGGCTTCTTGGCGATCTCGCTCGACAGGCCCTTGAACGACTTCGTGTTCAATTTTGGATACTTGTCCATCGCCGTCGTCTGCGTGTACCGCGCGCCCGTCTCGACCTCGCGCCAGAGGGCGACCATCGTCTCCACCGGCAAGGGGTTGTCGTGAACTCTCGCACGTCACCGCCAGGTCGAGGCCGAAGGTCGACTCTCGAAGACTCTCAGTGGCAAAGATTCGCGTTCGCCAAATCAAAGTAGCCACTCTCTGCCTTGGCGCTTCTCTAAACGTAGGGGGGGCGGGAGGAACCGCGGGGGGACGGGAGGCTCAGAGGGAGCCACTCTCTGCTACTGGTTCTCTACAGATACTCTTACGCGTGCACCCTCATCATCGTCGTCTAGTCGCGCTCGCGCGTCTCCGCGCGGCACGTCGGGCAGCGGAGCTTCCGCTTCCGCGAGCTCCGCCGCGCGCCGAGTCCGCACTCGGCCCAGCGCGATGCGGCGTACTGGCGCAAGCAGTCCACATGCAGCCCATGGCCGCACTCCAACGACGTCGCGCCGTCTCCCAGCTCCTCCATGCAGATGGGGCACTCGTCGCGCGTCGACGCGAGTGGCGGCGCGGCGCAGGGTACGGGCGGCGGCGGCGCGGCGAAGCCGCCGGCGCGCTCGCGCGGGATCTCGTCCTCGGCCGGCGTCCAGTGGGGTTGCGACGCGGCGACCGCGGCCGCGGACGGCGGCGGCGCGGCGGGCGGCGGCGCGGCCGCGTCCGGCGGCGGCGGCGCGGACGCGTCGACGCGGACCTCGTCGGCGTCGTGGTCGCTCTCGACCCACGCCCCGAGCACCTTCCAGCGCGCGCGGAACCGCCCGCCCTCGAGCGGCCGCACCTCGGCCGGGAGCCACGTGACGACCCAGCGCACGCGCGCCGGCGTCCAGGCCGCCGGCTCCGACGTAGAATCGCCGCGCGCGGCGTCGGCGCCCCGCTCCGCGTTTCGCGGCGGCGACAGGCCGAGAAGCTCCGGGGCTTCGGGGCGCGCGAGCATGGACCGCAGGAAGGAGACGTAGCGCGTGCCGTCGCGCGGATACAGACGCAGGTACAGCCGGTGGTAGTCCGTCTCCACGTCGGCCGCCCGAGGGCCCGCGCCGCACTCCTGCAGCAGCCGCAGCGCGTCGCAGCGCGCCTCCAAAGGTGGCATCGCCCGTGGATCGTGACGAAACAGGGGGATCATGCGCACGATGGGGCGCGGGACTCGCCGCGGCGGTTTCGCCGGCGGTTTCGCCGGACGCCGGACCTGCCGCGGCGGTCGCGCCACCGGCTTCAAAGGGAAGATGCTGCGCTCTCGGAGCTTCTCGCGAGAACGTGACCCGGCGCACGCGTCTATCGTGCGCGCCCGCTTGGGCTCCGGCGCGGGAGCTTCCTCGCTCGCGTCGCCTTCGGCCTCCGTCTCGGGCGCGCGCGGCGCGAATTCGCCCTCCTCAGACTCGCGCCGCACGTTCACGTCGTCGTCGAAGGTGTCGATGTCGATGGACACGTGCGACGCGTTCTCCCATTCGAGCTCCGGCGCCTGGAACACGAACGCGAGTTCTTTCGCGGCCGTCCGAACGTCGCCGTCCGGGTGGCTCTCCAAAGCCGTCAACAGCGGCAATGCCTCGCTGCGCCGCCGCGCGGCGTCGAGCGCCAGGGCGAGCCAGAGCCGCATCTCGCCGCCGCGTGTCGACAAAATCCCGCCCGCGAGGACGCACGCTCGATTCAAAAGCTTGACGGACTTGTCGCAGTCGCCGCTCTTCATGCTCTCGACGGCGGCGCCGTAGAAGATGTGGGACTGGTCCTCGGCGCTCGTGGAGTGGCCCGCTGCGTGTTCCTCGAGCACTTTTTGGTACGACGCGGGCGCCTCCATGATGGCGCGGGCCCGTCGGGTCGAGGCGGTTTCACAAGTCGCCAAACCCCAAATTGGCCGGGGCGGGGTCGGACGCAACGGCTTACCCAACCCGTTACTTACGACTTGCATTCGGCCAAAACGACTTACCTGACGGGTTACTTTCGAACTCGACGACTTACCCGGCGGCCTACCTCGGCCCGAGGCCGCGCGGGGCCCGTACTCGCGAACGGGCCGTATCTCCGGGCTCGAAAACGATGCCACCGTAGACGGTCGGGGTTCCTGTGTCTTTTTGTGCGGCGAGTCGCCCCTGCCCCCCGGGGGCTCCGATCCGTCGAAAGAACGAGAAGAGACGACTCAAAACGACGACGTGGCATCGATTCAGACGCGGCGCGGGCGGCGCGCGCGCGGCGTTCCGTTTTGGCGAGCCCAACGACTTACCCCGGGGCCCGACGACTTACCCTACGACTTACAATCGGCGCCGACGACTCAAAAACGGGTTACTTTTATCGTTGCGTCGGACCCCGGCGAAAATCAGCCCCGGCGCGCCGGCGGCCGACAGCGAGTCAGCCAAGCTTGGAAAACCTCCACAACTCCACTCGACCTTCCTCGCTCACGCGCGCACACACGCCACACATCATACTCACACCTCGTACCTCTCTCGTAGCCTCCCGGCGTCCCAACAAGTCCCCCCCAAGCCCCGCTTTTACGACTCCTTTTCGCTCCGCCCACGCCATCCCAAAAGAAAAACGTTCCCCACGACCGCGATCGCGCCCGTCCGCCCCCGGGGGGGGCGTCACCCCCCGGGGCGCGGTCGTCGTCGCCCCGGGGGGCGGCGGTGGCCCGCCGGCGGCGTGGTCCGCGGCGGGCACCTCGACGCCGGCGAAGAGCGACTCGCTCTTGCGCGGCGCGTCCGGCGGCCGGCGCGCCGGGACCCGCTCCGCTACGTCTTCGAGTCCTCGGTGCACGCCAAGCGCATGCAAGCCCGGCCTCCCACCTCGCGGCCCGCCGGCGGCGTGGTCCGCGGCGGGCACCTCGACGACGGCGAAGAGCGACTCGGCGCGGCCGGCGGCCGGCGCGACACGGACCCGCTCCGCTTCGTCTTCGAGTCCTCGGTGCACGCCAAGCGCATGCAAGCCCGGCCTCCCACCTCGCGGCCCGCCGGCGGCGTGGTCCGCGGCGGGCACCTCGACGACGGCGAAGAGCGACTCGGCGCGGCCGGCGGCCGGCGCGACACGGACCCGCTCCGCTTCGTCTTCGAGTCCTCGGTGCACGCCAAGCCCAAGCGCATCCGAGCTCGGCCGCCGACGTCGCGGCCCGCCGGCGGCGTGGTCCGCGGCGGGCACCTCGACGACGCGGAAGAGCGACTCGCTCTTCCGCGGCGCGTCCGGCGGCCGGCTTCCCGGCCGTCGGCGGACGTGCCTGAAAGGTCTTCAACCCCTGATTCGCGCGCCTCGTCCGTCGATCGTCGCCGCGGAACCGCGTCGATTTCCCCGCAGGCACCCGCAATATCGACCATGCACGTCATCATCAAGCCTTTGTGGGTACTCGCAGTGGCATTTGCTTTCGAAGGTGCCCAAGAGGCGCGTCCGGATCTCTGTCGTCGCTTCTTGAAAGTACATGACATCAGAGTCACTCGTCCGTCAAAGCGGGGACCCTCGCTCTTTTTTTGCCCGACCGCCAAGGCTGGCTCGTCAACAATCGATTCAATGATCAACCGGCATTTCTTGGCAAATACGACGGCAAAACACCAAGCGCGACGATCCTTCGCGGTGGACAGACATCTGTCATCAAAATTAAGTGAGAGCGATAAAAAGTTCCTGTGCAGCAAGCCGTTCGTCGCGCTAACCACCGTGCGCAATCCTTGGGATCGACTGATTTCTGCTTTCATCGGAAAAATAATAGTCCATCCTGACGGCCATGGTGGCGCGAGAGGGATGCGGGAACACTATGGCATTAAGCGAGCCTGTGAGGTCCAGTTCCAACAGGCGATCCGATTCGTGGCAGGACAGAAAACCCCAAACATTCATTTCATGCCCGAGAGCGAGCGATGCAAGCCAGAAAGATTGCCTTACGACGTCGTAGCGCGCATCGAACACGGATTCGAGTCTACTCTCTCAGAAGTCAGTGTGCGCCTTGGCTTTGACAAGCCGCCCCTTGCGAAGCACATCTCTACGACCCATGATTGCGCACGATCAAGTTGTTGCAAAAAACATCACTACCTTGAAATGCTCAATGTGTCTTCGGCGGCCGAACGGCGCCGGAAATTTTATACATCAGAACTGAGGGATCTGGTTGCCACGCGCTTTGCGACTGACATCGAGTCGTGGAAGTACACTTTCTAGTGTCGTAGTTCTTCCGGCCGGGTCAAACAGCGCTTCCGTACCAAGGTTCGTCAAGGACCCTGCCCTGAAGAATAATGTGAGGAGCCAAGCTCCGCGCGCAGGGACGACTGGGCCCCTGCAACAGGGACGATCCCGCTCCCTCCGAGGAGTCTCCCCGAGGTCCGGTGCGGCTTTAGCCCCCCCCCCAATGCCCCGCCAGCCCAAGGCTGCGCGTAGGCGGGCTAGGTCGCCTAATGCGCGAGAGAGAGAGAGTCGCCGAAACGAAGTCTCGAGAGCAGACACCTTAGTTAAGGTCCTTACCCATCACTACCTCCTTCCTCCCGGCGGCGCTTCTTCGGCGGCGCGTCGTCGCCGTCCCCGTCCTCGTCGCCGAGGACGAGCGCGCGCCACGCGTCCACGGGCACGGGGTCCTTGAACTTGCGCGCGAAGAGGCAGCCGTCGACGTTCGCCGCGGCGACGACGGCGGCGTCGAGGGCGGCGAAGGTCTTGGGCGACTTGCCGTTCTGGGACCAGTCGCACCACGTGAGCCGCCGGCCGTCGACTGCGGTGGTTTCGCGCGGCCGGAGCGGTGCTGTCGCCGTCGCCGTCGCCGTCGCCGTCGCCGGCGCCGGCGCCGTCGCCGTCGCCGGCGCCGTCGCCGTCGCCGCCGCGGCCTCGTCGGCGCCGTCGGGCCGCCGCAACACGCCGCAGAGCGCCAGGGACACGGGGAAGAGGAGCTCGTCGGGCGCCGTGCACTTGCGCAGGAGCCGCCACAAGGGCTCCGCGTCGTCGCGGTGCCGCGCCTCGCGCCGCGCGCAGCCGTCGAGGCGCGCGGCGGCCTCGGCGTGGAGGCGGCTCAACACGACCCACTGGTCCGCCTTCCAGACGTGGGCCGCGTCGACGGACCGGTGGACCTTGGCCCACTGGACCTGCAGGGCGTAGCCGTTGTTCGGCCGGCCCGTGCACACCATGCGGCTCGCGGGCGCGTCGACGAGGTCCGCGACGCGGTCCGGCCCGCACACGGGCACGCAGGTCTCGCTCGCGAAGGCGACGGCCGCCGGGTCGCCGCGGAGCGCCGCGTCGAGGAGGCAGAGCGTCGCGCGGCAGAGCTCCACGGAGCCCCACGGTGTCTCGAAGTGCTCCTTGATCAGCCGCGCCTTCGCCCAGGGCGACGCGACGCGCCCGGGCCGGTGCGCGTGCAAGTAAAAGGCGACGTCGACGCCCCGGGCGGCGCACGCGTCGGCCCACGCGCGCCAGACCGCCTCGTGCGGCAGACCGTCGACGACCGTGAAGCAGACCGCGAGGCGCCGTTTCCCGTCCCCGCGGCCGCAGGCCTCCTCGGCCTCGCGCAACGCGCGCTTCGCGCCGCGCTCCAGCGCCTCGCGCAGGCGCCGGTCGCCGCGGTTGAGCTGCGACCAGGCCGTGCGCGGCGGCCGGGCGCGCTGCGGCGCCGGCGCCGGCGGCGCGGCGTCCTCGCCATCATAGCTCTCCAGGAGGCTCGCGAAGGACATGTGCGATCTCTGCGGCTCGTACAACGTGCACAGACCGGCTCAGGCGCCGTCCATAGACTCTGGTGCCCGCTTCAGCAGCGTCAACATGCACATAAATTTACCACAAGCGAGCGAGCTCTTTTTTGCCGGCGCGAGGTGGCGGATCTGCGCAACCGTGGTGCGCGCGCCGCACCAGCCTCCGGCCCGCGAAGACCTCTCACTGTGCGTCGCGGCGACCGAAACGAACCGATGGCCGACTGGTTTCCCGAGACGACGAAGTTCTTCTTCGGCGACGACGAAGCGCCGAAGCCGTCGCACCACCACCCGGCGCGGGACGCTGCCAGCGACGGCGGCGGCGCGCTCCACCTCGACGTCAAGTCGCTGTCCATCCGCGAGCTGCGGCGGAGTATTAGCGACGCCGGCCTGGGTCACGCGGACTGCCTCGAGCGGAGCGAGCTCGAGGCGCGCTTCGAGGAGGCGCGGAGCCGCGAGTACACGGGCCCGTGCCCGTCGCCGGACGGCGCGCGCGCCGTGGAGATCGCGGGCCTGCGCTGCTGCGTGCTCGGGTCGCCGAACCCGGAGCTCGTCGTCGTCATCTACCACGGCTACTACGCGCCCGCGTCGGAGCTCGTGCCGCTCGCCCAGGTCTTGGAGGCGCGGCTCCACGAGGCGGGCCACGCGGTGCAGTTCGTGCTGCCCCAGTGCGGCGAGTCGGCCTGGTTCAACCTCGACTTTAGCTCCTACGTCATGGCCGTGCTCCAGGGCGAGGCGGAGAAGGCGCGCGTCGTCCGGGCCACACCGGGCGGCGTCGAGGAGATGCGCGCGTCGCAGTCGTCCTTCGTCGCCACGCTGCGCGAGCGCACGGGCCTGCCGACGTCGGCGCTGTGCCTCTGCGGCTTCTCCCAGGGCGCCATGGTGGCGCTGGACGTCGCGCTGCACCTGGACGAGACGTGCGCGGGCGTCGTCGTGCTCTCGGGCTTCGTCATGGCCGTGGAGCGCTGGGCCGAGCGCCTCGCGAGCCGCCACCGGGGCATCCGCGTGCTCCAGCTCCACGGGCTCCAGGACAACACGATCCCCTTCTACACGGCGAACTGGCTCTGCGACCTGCTGAAGACGAACGGCGCGCGCGTCATGTTCATCCCCCACAGCGGCGGCCACGAGTTCGGCCCGCCCCACGTCTTCTCGAGCCTCCTCTCGTTCCTGACGTCCCTCGTCCCCAGCGCGCCCATGTCCTAGTTTTCTTGCGGGGTCCTTGTTGTTAGCGCAGGGGGAACGACACGAGGGACACTGTGACGGGACCAAATTGAGCAGGAGATGGTCGCAAGCCGATCGCGAAGCGCGGCAGCATCTTGACGCATAATATCTACCTTGCACCCCCCGCGCGAGGAACAGACGACGAGCTGGGGCTGCCCCGCGGGCGCGGGCGCGAACCGATGCCGCTCCTGAGGGCCGTGAGCCGGCGGGCGACGCCGAACCTGACGTCGTCGAGCAAGCTGGGCGGCGAGGACGAGGGCGGCGAGGCGCCGGGCCCCGGCGGCATGAAGCGGGCGAGCTCGCTGCTGCGCGGCGACTCGGCGGGCGGCGACCTCGCGACGCACCGGGGCATCCTGCTCAAGCAGAAGGGGACGATGCTGACGTGGCCGAAGCGGTTCTGCTGGACGGAGGAGGGCCGCTTCTGCTGGGCGGAGCCGTCGACGAAGGCGAACAAGGAGCACGGCAAGGAGCGGGGCTGCATCATCGTGTCCGAGATCACGGCCGTCGACAAGGTGGCCGGGGCGGAGAAGCCGCCGTTCCAGTTCACGGTGAAGACCGACGACCGGACCATCAACTTCGCCGCGGAGAGCGACGGCGACCTCGACATCTGGGTCAAGGTCCTCGCGCCCAAGGAGGAGGCGGACGACGACGAGCTCGGCATCGAGGGCGAGGGCGAGGAGCAGGTCTGGCAGTTCCCGGCCCACCTCGTGCGCTCCGAGGAGGTCGTCGTGACGGCGCGCATGAACATGGGCGTCGTCATCTCCAAGTACGTCGGCGGCGGCTTCCGGCTGCGCCTCGACGAGTTGCAGGGCGCCCCGCCCGTCGTCGACGTCGGCGACGCGCAGGCGCGGGCGCTGGGGCTCCCCGACGACAACGGGCCGCCGCTCTGCGTCGTCGCGTCGGGCGCGGCGACCTGGAGCGCCGCGGAGCACACCCAAACCTTTGGGTGGTGAACACCCGATTAGCCCTCGATGGGCCTCAAAGCGGCGCGTAGGCCGCGGTAGCCGAAGGAAAAACGGCCCCGGCCGCGGCGCATGTACCCCACGAGGGCGCGGAGCCGTTCCAACCGTTCGTGATGGCGACTTCGCGGCTCAAAACGGTCGCGTGACAGCGGTAGGCGGCCCACGCTCTCAGAGGCCCGAGTGCGGACTCGTCGGAAACGCTGCTTCTGGCTCGTTTGGGGCGTGTGCGGGTCCTTAGTGATGGTATAAGAGATTCCGCGTGCTTGGTTCGATGCGTGCGGGCCCAAAACGTGACTGCGCGCGCGGCCGAAGCTCGGCGCCGACGACATTCCCGACGCGTTGACCGCGGGCATCCGGAGCGCCACACGTGCGAGGCGCTGGCCACATCCCTCCGGTGGGTCATATACTCGGTCCGGAAGCGTCGTGTGACCTCGGAAAACGTGTGAAGTCGTGGATCGCGACCCCAA